ATCTTTTTAAGTGGGAGAACTTGCACTATTGGTGGCTGACTAAATACTTTTTTGCCCCACTGTAAGTGCGAGGACTTTATCATTTATTGCATTAAATAACTAATTCTATATGGATCATGCCTTGGTTTACAAAAGTGATGTAACGCAGTATAATAAAAAAAATAATTAAAAACATGCACTAAAAGTAGAGAAAGAAACATACATAAGATGTTTACAATGGACAAGAAAACAATATGCCAGAGCCTAAACATCTCATACAAAAAATAATTTTATGGAGTAAGGAATAGTTTCTACTCACTGTGTTGAGGATGAGGACCGAGCAGAACTGAATTAGACTGTACAGCGCCATGTACCTGAACAGGCTAAAGGATGTGACCAAAGAACATCTCCCCTCTCTGAAAGAATACAGTACAAAACATTAGAAGCTTCCTCTAGACCTCAGTCAGAAATAAACCAGTTTTACATTTCTGGGGTTGCCACGCTTTAAAAACTATTGTCAGATTAGTCAGTGGATACAATAATGTGGACGGGCCTGGATGAAATGTCCCTGAGTCGTTTAATAGTCCAAGCACCTGTCGCAGCTGTTCCATGTTGGAGGCACAGGGCATCTTTGAAATTTCTTCCAGGTCCTCGAGCAGATTACTCATCTGGCTCATTGGGGTAATGACTGTGGTCAGTCTTTGTCAACTGGGGTGCAACGGAATTTCCCAAAACCCACTAGAGGCATCCAGAGTGGAAAAAATCTTGGCTCCAACCAACTTGGGTGTTATATCATCTAAGGTGGGTAAACTCTGACATTCAAGCTTAACACCCTTGTTCACTTGTCTTAAATCTACACAGATCCTGACATTATCCTTGTTGCTTTTTGGAGTTGGCACCATTGGGGCACACTAGTCTGTCAGTTCGGTAACTTTCTCAATTATTTGTATATGTATAATTCTTTCTCCACTTTTGGAAAGAGGGGAAAAGGGACTCGTCATGGTGTATTGATGCTTTATGGAATCACCTATTCCATCCACCCAATTGTAACAGGCTCACAGTTCAGTTGTCCTATTTCCCCAAACGCCTCACTAGGTAATATATAGTCACCGCTTATAGCATTGACTCGTTTGACCGGTCCCACATGTTTTGTCACTGTCCTGTCTAACATCCATGGAAAAACACTTCTGCTTTATTTAGGACAACACAATGTGATAATGTGAGAATGTCTGGTTTAGGAATCTCAGGATCCTTTTTTAGAATTATGTGGCTCTGTTGGCTTTTTCAGGCCATGACTCCAAGTATGTACTGGAACAGTTCGCTGCTGGAGTGGCTACAAGAATACCGTAAATCCTCTAATATAGGATGGGGCCTTTATTTCACTCAGGTACATCTTAGTCCAGGCCATTATTGGAAGGAATTAGAGACAGGCCTCTATTGCTATTTGAGCAAAACAGACTACCAGTGGAATGAATAAAAACGAGATTTTGTTTTTCTTTGAACCTATAAAATACTAGGTTCATGTACTGAAAAAGTACAGTTACCATAACGGTATACAGAACATTATTCAGATATCTTCCAGCAGCTGCAATTTTTCTGCACGACAGTATGAAATAAAATAAAAAAAGACACAGAATTAAATCTTGGCCAAACTGACTTGCGAATCAAAGTTAAATAAAATTTAAAATATTGGAAACTGTTTTGCCATCACAGCGAAATTTTATTTAAGGGCAGGCTAAGTGGAAGTAGGCTACCAGTATCATATATTTCAAGGAAATTCAGAACAACGAAGGCCAACAAAATTCTTTCATTTTAACACTGCGTGGTTACCACCAGACCTACCGGTAATCACATGGGTCTTTCAGATCAGAACGATTGCGTAAGGCCACTACGATCTCTGTTTAAGCATAGGACTTCCCATGCTAACGGCTTGGATTCGTCCGCAAACATTGCCCCCCTGTAGTACTTGTATGTTACTATCA